TGCATGTAGATTTTATTTTTATTGGGTTAAAAAATGGTACTAATAATTTATAATTCTTACAGGGCATTTTCTCTTGGTTCATATATGTATATATATTTGTCCAATTATAAACATATATTGCTCTTCTTTTGTGAAATCAGAAACAAGTCCAAACCAGAAAATACATACCCATGCTTTGCTGTGACCTTAATTGGTTAGTAAATGAGTGTCATAAAATCCCCATGTGATTCATAAACCAGGTGCATTATAAACCTAAAAACCACCAGAAAAGACTTTTGACTGCCATACTAGTCTACCATAATGCAATAAAAAAAATTAAAATCAGTTAAAGCCTTCAAAACAAATGTCACAAAATCCCCATAAAAGGTAAAACCCCCATACATAGACAATATAAGTTTGTGAATGAGAATGGCTAAATACGAATGTTAAAAATCCAAATAAAATAGTAGGATCAGCCAAGTCAAACTTGGTACACCTGCTGCAAATCTTCCAAGCTTCACCCCCCCATTGTTCATTTCTAAAGTTGATGTGTAAAATACATTTAATCAGGACCAATCAAGCCTGAACCCTTATGCCAAGCCAGTCAATCCACAGATACCATGCATAACTTTGTAATGCCGGATATGTCACTGGCTCAGGGTACCATGAAACCTGGGTTACAAAAAAGGATACATGCCATACATCCCGTTTTTTTTTTTTTTTTTTTTTGAGGGGTCAAGACAGGTCAAGTTTGCAAGAGTCTGCATGGTTTCTGTGAACTGCGTTGCTGGGTTCAGGCATGTGTGGTCCTGATAATGTGCATTTTAAAAACTGAAATTTAAAATTAAATTTAGATTGAGAAGCGAACGCCAGGAGGATGTAGCTTTGAACATTTGCGGTAGGAATACCAATTCAGTTTGAGGCTGGTCTAATGGCTGGCACTACCAGTACTTTATTTGGACTTTAATTGTTCATTTTCGGCAAGTCTGTTTCACAAGCTTTCATGCATTCTTTAATTGTCTCTATGGAGGTATATGGGGATTTTGCGACAGTCATCTTGAATGCTTTAACCAATTTTTTTTTCTATTTGTGTTATGGTACACTTGTAAGGCAGTCTAACATTATTTGGTGTGGTTTTAAGCTTTATGCACCCAGTATAACAATCATATGGCGATTTTACAACACTTGTTTAATAACCAATCAAGGTGACAGCCGCGCGTTCACACATTCACACATGCCTGTACCTTCTGCTTCTAACTTCTGCAATATCTGTATTGATCGTGTCACACTTACCTGTCTCTTGCAAGTATGCACAGGAATTTGATAAAAATAGTTCAGAATTATTTAACTTTTTTTGCATATTTTTCCTTTTTTCATTACAGCAGTCTAATGTGGTATTATAAAATTTATTTAAATTGACTGCAGTTTGCCAATGTAACTCCATCGCACTCTATACAAATTCTCGAGAAATGGTACTCACTTCAGTCCTAGTTTCAACGTCCGATATATTAACATTTGAAGCAACTTTTCCCCATTGCTACCGGCATAGCGAAAGTGATGTCTGTCGTAAACTAGCACTGCAGACACCGAGTTTGTTAGCTCTTCCAATTATCTATTTCATAGAAATTTAAGTACTGGCAAGTCTTTTAACTTGTATATAATCGACAATCACGCCATACTTTTTTGTCTTTAAACATTACTATGTTTGTACGTTAAACTCTCTTACCATTTTCGCCGATTTCTAAGCTTGTCTTCACCTTCGTTTCCCTTGGAGGTATTTTGTATAAAAATGGCGGCTGATTTGCATAGTTGTTTGACGTCACCAGTAGCAACCATTGCAGCAGGTGCGCTGAGGTAAATTTCCAGGGTAAATACATCACAACCACGTTTATACTGTAACAACCTAAATGAAGACTGAAATAACTAAAATAATATTTACTGCGAAACAGGGATATACGCTCCATGTTTCATTAACTTGAGTGAAAACGTGGTCAAGCATCTTTTTGTTTAGTAGTTTATTAGCAGTTGGCGAACTTCTAATAGCCGGACATCAAACGGGATCAAAAGCGTTTACTTTTTCTGCACCGATAATGTACTTACTCTAGCTAGATAATCATTGTCTTGCATACCTTCAGAGTAAATTTTACCACATGAAAAAGAAGGGTCTTGGATTTTTAAAAGATAAAATAAATCTAACCGTATCAAAGGTAATAATTTTATTTTGCATTTCCCACTCACTACACAGTTCACTCCCCCTCGAAGCAAAAATACACACACTGGACAATAGAAGTGTCACCCCCTGAATCAGAGTAATCAAAGCCGGAATATAAGCAATGTCAGAATATCGATAAAGTTCAATTGTTCAATCAGAACCGTTTCTTTTGTGAAATTTGATGTTAATAAAACGATACCAGGAGCATATCATTCCACAGCCATTTATCTCCCCCCAAAGAATTGGTTCAGTAGGCGTGACACTACTATTGTCCAGTGTGTGAGGATAACAGAATAAAATAAAGATGTAAAAATTAAAGTTAATGCATTCGTTTTTACCGTATATAAACAATTTGGGATTTCTATCAACCCAAACGATATTTTTCCGGTCACTGAAGGCATCCGTGTGTAATCTCGTATTTTGATTCCTTTTTAGTATTACTGCAATTTCCATGTTTTAGGTAAATCGCATATAAAGTCGTACAATATTCATCAATTGTTAACTTTCGTAGATGCAAAAATGCTTTTGATTATTCATTTTTGATTTATTAATGTCATTCCTTTTTATATGTTCATTTACGTATTTGTTTATTTATTAATTCATTTACCTTATTTTATTTGGCATCTTGGTTTATGTCACCCAAACCCAATATAGAGGTGCATTTCACAAGTCTAAAAAAAATCAGAAAAAATAAAATTGAATAAATTCAAAGTTGTATTCAGTCTTTCAAAACGTATGTGTGTATGCAGTGGCGGATTTAGGGGCTGTCAGGGGGTTCTTTCGATTTCTGAAAAAAAATCAAACCAATGGTCCCCTATTGAAATTAGATACCATTCCCACAGATATTTGGATATATATATATATATATATATATATATATATATATATATCACAATAGTCCTGTCAACTTGACCGCTTGACCGGCTTAAATGTCTGTCACGCCTAGTAAAGCTGTTAGGGGGTTTTTATTTTTACCTCCTAGGTGATTCGGTAGGCGTCACAGACATATAAGCCGGTTATTTGATAGCAATTTAGGGAGACTCCCCAGGGCGTTAGGTCGATCCAGATGGATCGATCTAAGTATTGGAACTCAGTCTTAGAATTTTGACTATCTGAATCATAGTTCTAAACCGTACCAAATGGCACCGTTCGCTCTCTAAGATACCAAGGGGGGAGGGGGCGAGGGTCGGCTTTGCATCAGCGGCCTTTCAATCCTCAAAACCGGACCGCTCCTTCAAATAATCCTGAATCCGCCACTGTGTTTAGAACAAAAATCAAAATGTAATTTCTATCATGGTCTATTATAATGCACTAGTAAGAAGCATAAGCGGGATTTTAAAAAAATTGTATAGTGTGCCAATATATTTTGTGGTGATTCGGTCATTGTAAATTATAGCTGACGTAAGGATGTCTTTATAAATATTTTGATTGTAACTTGGGAGGTTGCGTTGTGGCTAACACGAACGCAACGTATGTTCCACTGGAAAATGTCCGAAAAGGTTATGCCTGTCCAAGCACTTAGGCCTACTGCAATAAGTAACAATGGGTTTTATGTTGACAAGTGAAATATGTATAGTGTGCACTTTGACATTTCTGACATACATTTTGCACCAAGAACAAAAAAAAAAAATGATTTATACTTTTTTACTGTCGGTGTGTTGCATTTTTTTTTCTTTTATGATATTCAGTGACAATCAAACTAAAATCGTGCAAAAAATAATAAACACGCTATACAGAACATTATCATGTTTTTTTTACAATGTTATACTTGTGCGAAAAGAATTGAAGAACAAAACCACTGTTATTCAAATTTTTAAAGTGAGTAAAACGCTTCCACAGCTGAAGTTTTACATTTGTGACAGTAACGTATGTTCCCTTTAGGAGGATTAGACGATGAATTATTTATTATTCATGGTTCTAGGACAGTGAAACACAGTTTTTAATCTGTGCATTAAATATTTTAAGAGCATGCCTGTGACCTCATTTGCACCTCTATATTGGGTTTGGATGGTATGTGAAATCACCGCGAAAAACATAATTGCATTACTTAAATAATTTCATCTGTGCTAATTTTATTACACTTCATGAGTGAAAACCCCATCATTGATAGTAACTCGTCAAGGAAGTAAAAGTTATCAAGATACATGAAACTGCGTTATAAAGACTAAAAAGTCTTCACATTTACAGACAGCTTTGACGATAGGTAGACTCGTTTAATTTATTCCTCATTTTGGATCTAGTGCTTATTTTCGGCCTAAGTCAAAATCAAACGTGCATGGTATGTCTGTCAAAAACCATTTCTCTTTTTATTCAATCTTATTTTTCGTCTGTGCGACAATCAAGAAAAACGACCCAACCTCTCCAGTGACTCTCTTCGTTTCATCCTAAAGGTGGTTTCCATTTGCACAGTGTGTAACACGTAGCAAAGGGAGTTGCGTATAATACACGTGGGTATTCAAGTATTTGATGTACATATTTTTTGGGATTTTTTTTTACTAACATTAAGCTACCCTTCTTATACAGCATCATGTTTTCTGTCCTCATAATTTCCATGTGACAAATGCCAAACAAAAACGCATATAAAAATCTTTAAATATCAGATTAGCACACAGTGTAACATTATGTCCTTTTATCAAATGAAATACATTTCAATACAGTTAAATATTTGAATCGTAAACAATGTGTATTTGATAAATCCATATTTTAATGTGCATTTTGTGCTTATTCAGTTAAAACTGAACCCCTATCCTTTTTTGGGTCCAAAATGTTCTATTGTTCAACTTCGAGTCACCACTATCGCAGCGCAAACTGTATAAGGAGAGTCGATTTCTAAAAAAAAAAGGGGGGGGGGTTCGAAACAATTTTGAAACAATTTAAGTGAATGATAACTCTGCGGAATGTTAAAAATTGCTTTATAATCTCAATCATTCATATCGAACTAGTCCCATGTGTCAGATGTAAAAGACAGGCACGACTAATTCAATCTGATTTCACATTCAAGAACCAAGTCACTGAATTCTGGCACACTGAATTCATTAAAAATTATATATCTCTCAACCAATTCTCAATGATACTATTGGACTTGTAAGCGCATGAGCTTTCTTTTCATTAAATTATTTACAATTATCTAATTTTCAAAGGAATAGAGTTTAGTAAACTTGTATTCAAAAGACTTGATATAATTAAATGTTCCGTAAGTTATGAATATTTTTTTTATATTTACCCATTTATGCATATTTACCTCCGCCAAGGAGGTTGTTTTTGGTTCCGTTAGTTGTCTGTCTCTCTATCTGTCTGTCTGTCTGTTAGCAACATTACAGAAAAAAGTTATGGACCGATTTTAATCAAATTTTCAGGAACTGTCAGAAGTGGGCCAAGGAACAGATGATTAGTTTTTGGTGGTGATCAGGATCAATAATTAATCAATAATCAATAATAAAAAAACCCTAAGTTATGGACCGATTTTGATGAAATTTTCTGGAACTGTCATAAGTGGGCCAAGAAACAGATGATTAGTTTTTGGTGGTGATCCGGATCATTAATCAATCAATAATCAAAAATCAAAAAACTGAATCATTATAGAATGAAAATTTAGGGGTGACACGGCATTGGGTGGAGACTTTGCTGCCTTGGCGGAGGTCTGCGCTCTCGGAATCCTTTTCTAGTTTAAGAATATTTTACTCGTCAGTATACCAAAAGTTTAATTTTTATCAAAAGCTTGATTGTGCTCGCCTTAATTGATGAAATACAGGCCGTGTTCGTTCCTCGGTATAAGAACGACTCCAGGATGATCATAGTAATAAAGATATAATGGCGAAAAAACTTACTGAAATCATTTGATGGAGTGAAGAAGCATTATGCCTTTGCAAAAAGTAGATATTTGCTTCTTCGATTGCAGAAGTCTGCATGAGAGTGCGGCTGTCAAATCCCAAGAACTTTTGAGGAAGTAAAAGCAGATATTTCTTGCAAGTTTTGGTAAATTTTCTTGGTTGCTTAAAGGCAAAAAAAAAAACGTTTGAACTTTTTGTGATGAAAAATGCAGAAAGAGTTAATTTCCACATCATTCGCGACCTGCATCTAGATAGAATCAATTAAATCTTGATCATGGCCTTCCTAATTTTCCCAAAGTTTTGATAAAACCGTCTATTGAACACCTATCAATCATATATCGAGTTTTTCTAAAAGTAATGTTAAAAGGGCGTTCGTCTTTTAAGATCTTTAACATCATAAAAGATGGTCTTACATATTTGAAGTTAATTTGTATGATAGTCTGGACAGTTTTTTTTAATTAATATCTAGATAACTGCGACTTTTTAGCAGCTGGGAAATTGTGAGCATCGTATGAAATGTATGATAATTTGCTCTCCCCCCTGCCCCCCCCCCCCCCACTCTCTTTCTCTCGAAAAACCGCAATGCAGTGGTAAACGCAATTGCTTTCATCACAACCCAGTTAGCACATCTAGCACAGCGTTATGCCAATTACTATTGATTTTCACACATGTTGACGTTCATTGCCAATTAGTGAGTTTACGATTGAAGACAAAGAGCAAAAGCTGTCTGTTGTTAATCCGACTTTATAGAAAGTCAGA